TATATAATTCTGTTTTAATTACTGATAGCATCAATGCCCGATGCTAGTCTCATACAGACATATGTACATAATACATACCTAGAAAAATTCGACTACTTATTAATTCCCGAATATCACCGGCTCAACCAGTCGCAGCTCAGCTCTGAGCCCGATCGGTTGTCGCAACGTTTGGCAAACCAACTTCAGAACTTTTTTTTTTTTAGATATTTCCAATTAATTCTTGCCTTATTGTTTCTTGTTCAATTCAATTTAAACCAAACAAAATGCGTCGCTCAGGCGCTGTTACTGTCATCGCTTGTGCGGTTTTGGCCCTTCTAACTATGGCCGATCCGGTAAGAAGTGAGGGGTAAGTCGTGCTTAACAAATTAACTACATGCCAATTTAGATTCTTTAATTTCATCTCCATTTAATTACAATCGATTTTTTTTATAATGTAATTTATTAATCACAGAACTAACGTTTAAAATTTACATTTCAAATTGATTACAAAACTTGACAAATTCGTAATAAGTTTAAGGTTTGTATAAGTCCTAGCACTTTTTAATTATTTCTACTCATAAGCAGATGCTCTTTAAATGCTTATTTTATACCCAACCACAAATGGGATTCACTTTTAGATGAACTTAGACATTAAGCTTCATTAAAGCACTGTTGTTGGAAATTTACTAATTCAGAAATAAATGAAATTGATAAAGCAAAACGACCTAACGTAAAACTAAAATATTGATGTATGCAGATTAATCTATGCTCGGAGTTAGCATTCATAATTTATTTGAATTCAAAAAGCCGATTGGGCAATGCAAATCATATCAAAATTAAAAACAAATCTAAGCTACTGGGTGACCTAGTATTATAACATTATGAAATCGTTGTCAAGCTACATTGATTATAATTAATTTCGTGGCTCACCGCAGACAATATACAATCGTTGGACCGGGAACCATACATTCTCATCGAGATTACAATGTGGCTGTCGCCGTGCATCACACCAAGGAGCCAGTTACCTTGAAGATTGGTATTACGGGACCCTCGTACAATGAAAC